AAGATGATGTGTGGTGTGATGTGGTTGTTATGGATGATTGTCATTTGTTGTTGGGCAGACCTTGGGAGTATGCTCGTAACATAGATCATAACGGGCGGACTAATACTTACAGTTTCTTGTTTGGTGGTGTGAAGATTGTTGGAATAGTGTCTAAGGCTATAACTATATCCGGTTGTGCATGGTCCTTTTAGGTTGCCTTCACCATAGCAACTTGAAGGATGATTTGTTAAGAGAGAGTAAATATTATAAGGAATAATATTTGGCTATTTGATTAATATAAGTCATAAATTAATTGGTATTAATTTGGTGACTTAAAGAGATTAATTAAATAAGAGGGTATAAACTGTCAATTGTTTGATAGTTAGACTTTAGACTGTAAATCCATTTGGATATACCTTGGACGGATTCTAAGAGCTTTAGGATAGCTCAAATCGTCCATAGGGTTATCTATGGAATGGATTTGGATAGCCTTAAGAGAAGATTATCCAATTAGGGTTTAGGTTGAAACCCTTAAGGAGTCTACAAGTATAAATAGACCCTAGGGGTGAGGGAATTCGACACACAACCTTAACCAAGGAACCTCTGGCCGAATTCCTCCCCTCTCCTCTCTCCTAAATCATCTTGCTTGCTATTGGTGTTTGTAAGCCATTAGCGGAGTGACATTTGTGACTCTAGAAGCTCCAAGACAAACAAGATCAACAAGGAACTCAAAGGCTTTGTCAAGCTGTTTAGTGGGTGATCATGTGAAGACCTGGGATCAAAAGCTTTGTCAAGCTGAGTTTGCTCATAATCATGCTATCAACCGAAGTACTGGATATAGTCCATTCTAGGTAGTCTATTCTGTTCAGCCACGGGGACCACTTGATTTGATGTCACTGCCTGTTTCTAGGGTTGTTCCAAAGAAAGTGCAGGATTTTGTTGGAGGACTGCATGATGTTCATAAGGCTGTTCATGACAACTTGGTCCGAGCTAACTCCAAGTACAAGCAAGATGCAGATAAAAAACGCAGACAAGTTGATTTTGAAGTAGGTGACTTTGTTTGGGCTGTTTTGACTAAAGATCGTTTTTCGGTTGGTGAGTACAACAAGCTGTCAGCTAAGAAGATTGGACCGGTCGAGATTGTGGAGAAGATTAATTCCAATGCTTACCGTCTACAATTGCCAAGTCACATTCGTTGTTCCGATGTTTTCAATGTAAAGCATTTGCTTCCTTATTATGGGGATTCTTCTGATGATGACCATGGTGCACATTCGAGGTTGAATTTTGTCTACCCAGGAGGGGATGATGCGGGCCCTAGTATGGAGGATCGGGCCCTTACGTTCCTATAGGCCCACGATCGTGTGACTAAAGGAGCTTCACGGAAATAGCCATAACTTTGGCTACGAATCTCCGTTTCGGGCCTACGACCAGTCAAATCGAAGCTTGGAGCAAGGAGCACGTCTAAATAAGTACCCGAAGGGGACTTACCCATTTTTGAGTCCAGAAATAGCTTTCTAAATGGAGTTATGAACAATTTTGTTATTTTTCCTTAATTTTTGGGTTTTGTTTTTGGGTTTGTATTTGGCCCATGGACTTTTAGGGTTTCATTTTAATTTCTGCTTCTTATTTAACTGTTTTTGATGTAATTTGGACGGTCGATCATCAATTTTATGAACTTTCGATTTTCTCCCAAATTCTGTGTGTTAATCCAGATTTGAAGCCAATCCCACGGTATTCATAGAATCAACGTGGTTTTGAAGAGATTGTCCTGGCTATTCTTTTAGAATCAACATGTTCATTCTTGTTTATCTTTGTGTTGTTTTTTGCGCTGCATCAGCTTCCTTAGTCCCTTAAGCGATTTAGGTTCTAGATCTGGACCCTTGGAGGTCCAGAGTGTGCCTTTGCCCAAGCTTTTTATGAATCCATGGGGGTTTTGGATTAGGGTCCTTGTGTTTGAAGTCAAAACACCATTTATGAGTCAAGGAGTGTGTTATGAGCACCAAGTCACAGACTTTACGTGATGAATATGCTTAGGAGAGCCAGATTTATGAGTTGTTGGAGCGGATCTGACCTCAGAAGCAAGTTTGAGTTGATGCATGGCATGGACTCGCTGAGTCTGAAGAACAGACTCGGCGAGTAGCATGAAGATTGTCCTAAACCACTCAGTGAGTGGTCCAACCGAGTTATGGGTTGACTCAGTGACTCAGGAAGAGTTAGAGAGTGTAGACAGGTGGTTCGAGTCGAACTGGAACTCGTCGAGTTGTTCTTGAGACTCGACGAGTTGAGTCGGGGTGGCCCTGCGATTCTTACCAGGTGGAACTCGTCGAGTTAGGGGAATACTCGACGTGTCAAAAAGGGAACCCTAGAGAGTTGGTGAAAACGCTTAGACTCGCCGAGTCGCCCTAGTGCACTCACCGAGTCCGGTCAAAGTTGATCGTTGACCAGAGTTGACCAGTGTTGACTTGATAGGGGTAGTCAACCTTAGTGGTAAAAGTGTTAATTAGAGACATATGATGTTATAGGAGGATTATAGCTCGGAGGATCGAGCACGAGTGATATCCAGGATTCGCGAGTTATCGAGATACACGAGGTGAGTCTTCTCACTATACTTTATCTTGAGTAGGTAACCAGAGTTATGTGATCAGATTATTTGTATGATATATGTATGTGATGTGTTGTACTGCATTATATCTATGTGATTTATGTTGTGCATGTTTTAGAGTTGGAACCGGAAGGTTCACAGAGTTAGAACCTGAGGGTTCACAGAGTTTGGGTGCATGGACCCATAGAGTTATAGCCTCGAGTGGCTTATATGTGTTATGTGTGTGGTATTTTGGGAAACTCACTAAGCCTTGTGCTTACAGAGTTGGTGTTGTTGTTTCAGGTACTAGGGATGACCGTGGGAAGGCGCCGACTTGATCTGTACACACACATGAGATTTTTTTTATATATATATGATCTTGGGATTTTGTATGATGTGAATTGAGATTTTAAACTTAATGTTTTATGAAAACTAAATGATAAATGTTTTTATATTTGTGAAAAATTATTTTGAAAATTCACGGTGTTACAATTGGGTTTTTGTCCCAAGTGCAAGAAATAGCAATGTACTTTGGTTTTTTGTCTTAGTTTAAAAATAGCAATATACTTTGGCATTGATAAATGCATGTTGATTTGGTAATTGTTTTTTTGTCCCAGGTGTAAGAAATAACAATGTACTTTTGGTATTTCTTGTATTTAAGTGAAAGAAATAGCAATCTCCTTTGGTAGTTTGTATTTATGTTTGATAATTCAACTTACAAGTTTATATATGTTGTTATTTATTATATAGTTGGAAAATCTTCGAGCAATACTCAAGGACCCGACATGTAGAGAGGAGCTTTGTGCGTTTTTTTAATCATGGAAAGATTGAGGAGGAAATGATGGAAACAGAGATGATGGCTCGTCGGATAATTACTTTGTGTTTTGTATGTTACACTCGTCGTGACAGTTTGCTACTTGTTACAATTATAAAACTTTGATTGTTTATTTTGGTATGAAATTAGTTATAACAGTATTTGGTATCTAATCGGATGTTATTATGTAATTTTTTTCTACTTTTAATGTCGTTATGAATTGGTTTTTTTGCACCAAAAATCATCGATTTTTAAAAAAAAAAATGAAAAATGTTATTACCGGCGACACAGGGTATTATTAGCGATAGAAGCATTAGCAACGAGAAATATCTTTACCGACAACATTTTGAACAATAGCAACAGAATAGTAGCGACGACTTTTCTTGGCTTTAGCGGCGACTTCTGTCGCTGCTAATTCCATTTTTCCTTTTAGTGATAGCTCATAGGGGTGTGCATCAAACCGCACAAACCGTATAAACCGCCCGCACCACACCACACCGCACCGCATAATGCGGTTTTGGATGCTCGTGGTGCGGTTTGCGGTTTGTAGTTTTCATAAACTGCACTATGCGGTACGGTTTGCGGTTTATAGTTATCAGAGCGTGGTTCAAACCGCACTGCAACATATATATATATATATATATATATATATATATATATATATATATATATATATATATATATATATATATATATATATATATATATATATATATATATATGCACACACACACATACAACACGCTAGATGTTTACTACTTTTAATACCCTTAATAGTGTTTATGAGATTTCCATTGATAAACATGAGTCAAAATGGGAAACCAACTATATCAAAAATATGTGTTTACACTACCATAAGTTCATATTATAATTTTAAAATATTGTAAAATATTTTGATGTTATGCATAAAGACAGATAGTTAATCTTTTTTTTTTTATAGAATATAAAACAACACACACTTATTATGTTTAAAACTAAATTTAATATTTATGTTTATGAAACCGCATAAACCGTACAAAAACCGTAAAACCACACCGCATAACACAGTTTATTACCTTTGCGGTGCGGTCTGTAGTTCCCGAAAATAACAAACCGTATATGCGGTGCGATTTGCGGTTTTGAGGATAAACCGCACCGCGAAAACCCCTAATAGCTCGTAAAACTTCCTAAAACTTGATGATCTATTTTGATTAATTCAATTCAATTAAGTTGGAATGTTGTACAATTTTATATAGAAGTTACATACAGTGGTATAACAAGTGTAATTTACTTATTTTAAATTGTCAAGTTTTTTTAAAAGATAAAAGGTTTATAGTTTATCATATTAAATTGTAAAAAGTATTTTTAACAAAATGACAAAAATATCTTACATTTAAAATTTTAATCGATATAAGTTTAACTTGATCAACTAATTAACTATATATAGGTAGGTCTACGTTTGCAACTATGGAAGAATAGAATCGAATCTCGTAAGCTTGAGAGTAAGGATTAGTACTGATGTTGACGATTCCTTTGGTTTACTCCATATTTACGTATTCCAGTTTTATTACCACAAGCCAAACCACATGCATGCATTTTACCTTATATTCTTCCCTAATCTCATCTTCCCTGCATCATCTCAACCACCGCCATGGCACGACCAACTCCGACCCTTCTGCATTTGCTCTTCCTCGGGATCTTGATCCTTTCCTCAGGTATGTACAATCACCACCATTTCTTTCCTGTGCATAGATTCATTAACATAGCTAACTCGGTAACGCATTCACAGGAAACATATTATCAGACTGTGCAAGAGTTTTCACGATAACTAACGATTGTGACGAGACAATATGGCCTGCCATAACCCCCGGTGAGAGCTTTGGTGGTGGAGGATACGCCCTAAAATCCAAAGAATCCAGAGTCCACACAGCACCCACCGGTTGGTCAGGTCGGATATGGGGTAGAACCAAGTGCAGTTTCGACAGCTCCGGCAATGGAACATGCCTTACCGGCCGATGTGGCTCATCACTCCAGTGCACTGCCTCCGGCGAGACCCCATCTACGCTTGCTGAGCTCACCCTCACCCCACTGGAATTTTACGACGTTAGTCTTGTTGACGGCTTTAACCTGCCAATGTCTATTAGGCCCGTTAATGGTAAGGGAAACTGTAGCGTTGCTGGATGCGTTGGCGACTTGCGCCAAAACTGCCCTTCGGAGCTTTCTGTTAAGGCTGGTGGTAAGGTTGTGGCTTGTCGAAGTGCTTGTGATGTGTTTAACACTGATGAGTATTGTTGTCGGGGTATTTATGGGAACTCTGCCACGTGCAAACCAACGTATTACTCGAAGAAATTTAAGAATGCTTGTCCTACTTCGTATAGTTATGCGTACGACGATCCATCAAGTATTTTCACTTGTACAGGAGCCGATTACATTATCACGTTTTGCGCATCGAAGTAGGTTTTTCCTCTATGCTTGTACTACGTATATGCACGCTTATCATATTAATTATATGGTTGCTAACTAGTAGTATAATTTTCATTCGATTTCAGGAACCGGCCTCAATGCACATATCACGACAATAAGTTGACTTGCAGCGGATCTGGGAAGGGTTTCTTTCAGAATTGGATATTGAGTACGATGATGGCTTTGATAGTCGGTTGTTTGTCGGTGATGCTATAATAAGTCGGGATTTTATGTTGTTTTTATCGGTTGTCCTTTTTTCCACAGAAGTTTAAAACTTGTGTCTTCTTTTTTCATCCTAATTAATGTTGAAATTATTTGTTTAATATCCAATATACTTTGGTAAATTGGTGTAGGATTCGGAGATTGATAGAAAAATAAGATATTTACTGAATCCATAATTCCATAGTGATAAGATATGATGGTTAATTATGTCATGAATACCAACATGTAACTAACATATATAACATGCAACTAACATCTATATGAAATAATTTGTAATCATAAGCTAAAGTAACTTGCTTCAATCGAATAATCGTGACATGAAACTTTTGGTTTGGATAGTTCAACTTTTGGTAAATTTTACCAATTATAATGGATCGATTAAAGAAAAAAAATAATTTTTGAACGGGCCTGCAGCTGCACTTATCATCGAAAAAGAACCAAATAGGGACCAGCAAAGACGTGGCCATGTAGAAGGTTTTTTTTTTTTTTTTTTTTTTTTTGTAAAATAGGGATGTTTGAAAAGAGGTTTGTAGAAATAGGGGTGTTAGGAGGAGACCCCACAACCCACAACTTCGGTCCAATATTTTTTTGAATTTACATTATGCACCCTTAACTAGTTATAAGTATAACCCTTGAACTATCATCTTTTCTTTTTATTTATATCCTTAGTTTTGAAAATTTTATTTTCAAACTTTATTATATAAAATGTATAAATTAATTTATTGAAAGTGTATACTTAAAATTTAAGTATTGTTTTAAGCATATTATATCATGAACAGATGTCACAATACCTTCAAATTGATATCAATATTTAATATATTATAATGTTGTGAAATTATAATATGAATTAAATGGTAAATTAGAATACGAATAAAACACTAAATTAAAATACAACCAAATTACGTACAAATTTACAATAAAAGTTAAATGCTAATTTAGAAGACGAACTCAAATTGATAATAATATTTTATTTATAACAAATTATCTTCTCTAATAAATGAATGTTTTTTTTTGACACTTGTTACACTCTCATTTATTTTACCATATGTTATTTTTTGATTATTTTGAATTAATTTTTATTCCATATAAAAAAGAAAAAAAAACACTTTAATTTTAGTAATTCAATATTTTTCTCATTTTTCTTATAAATTTAAATTTCTCAAATGTTTATATATATTTAATTATTTTAATTACACCCATATAATACATTGGGCTCACACCTAGTATAATTATATTACAAATTAATACAAGTTTATTATGACTTGTCTTTTCAATAGAAAAATATTAAAGTGTTTGCAAAAAGCCAATGAAAAGTGATACTATTTTTGAACCGCATTGATTAAAGAAAATTGACTACAAAGGTATAAGCATGTAAGCCTTTAATATTCCATCATTTTTTGTCTTTGATGCTTTAAAGTAATCTCATGAAGGTACAACTATGTAAGCCGTAAAAGATCTTGTTGGGGTATTGGCAACACCACACAAAAAAGGAAGTTCATTAAATATAGGAGAGAAATAAAAAAAATCCATCTTGAAGCTTGGAAGTACTTAAAGCAAATTAACAAAAGTCAATGGTGTATTTTATATTGTAACTCTCAGTTTCAGATTTGCTCCGTTGCCTGGGGCTACGGACCAGTCATCAGTTGTTATAAGGGTTAGGGCTTCGAGAAAGGAAGTATTCAACCCATTTTGGATGTAGTTGCCATGGTATAAGTGATCCAAATATTCGAGTCTGTCTTCAAAGCCAAAGGTATGATTATAATTGGGGATCTCGATATTTTATAGATTTTGCGTTTTGTTCGAGACGTTTTAAGGCTTGGGTGTGTTGTTAGGAGCGTAGGGCTTCTCACCACCTTTTCGTGGATAAAAGTTTCATTGGAAATGGGCCTGGTATGGGGGAGCTATGGTATTTTGAAGCTATTGGCAATTTTGATCCCTAATGGAAATAATTGGCGAAGCAGTCCCATACATGCAAGGTAGCATGTGCGTGAGTACGCCCAGCGTACATGTGGGAATGGACGCGGGTTTGGGAGACGTAGGCCCAACGTACAAGAAGTACGCCCATCGTATGTTCAAGATCCCCAAACCCTAATTTTACGGGTTGGCTCACTATTTTAGCACCTTAAGTCCAAGGTGTGCACCCCTTTTTCATCCTCTAGTGTCTTAAACCCTAAATATCGAGTTATAGCATCATCCAAGAGGGTTATATGCCTTGTATGTGCATTTTTGGTGGATTCTAATCTATTTCAAGAAGTGGAAGCTTGGTACAAGGTGGTGGTTCAAGGAAAGGCTTGTGGATTTGGACTCTTGATGCATTTTCAGCTTATTGAAGGTAAAAAGTTCTTAGCTTCATCATTAGAAGTTGATATCTATGATTATGTGGGTTTTTGGTCCCTTTTTGACATCTTAAGTGAGATCTAGTGGTTGGACATCACTTCAGAAGCTTTGAGTTGCCACTATTGGTAAATCTAAGGTTATAAGTTTATAAAAATACTTGCTTGATGCTTAGATGAGTTCGATGCATGTTCTTGTTGGGTTTTAATGAATTGAATTGGTAATTGGGTCCCTTTAAGCCATGAAAATGTATAAAGGTGCGACTTTATGCATTAAGAGCTTCATTTGGAGGTTTCTTAATGTTTAGACGCAAAATTCTTAATTGGTTTAGTCACAAAAGGTGTTTGGAGAATCTGCGGGTATGCCCCGTGTAAGTCCTTGTATGCCCCACTTACTAATTTAAGGCCCCAACCTTTGTCTTCGAGTACGCTGAGCATACCTATGGGGGTACACCCCGCGTACGTGCATTAGTGGGCTTATGCATGGGTTTGGGTTTTGTATGTTGGGCTTTTGATCAAGGGAATCTTAGAGTCTCGGGATTTTGTTTGGACACATCTAGTTAGACCGAGATTTTCTATTGGGCCTTGGTGGGCCCAATGGGCTTAGACCTTTAGGCCATCAGAGAATTATTATTGGACTAGGAATTTTGGGCTTTTGGGTAAGGCCACATGGAGTTGGGCCCAATTTGGAAAATTGGGTCGTTAATAGGCTCTTATGGATCTTATAGTTTTGGGCCTTGTTAGTTTTGGGATCGGGCCTTGGTTATGAGTCTTGATGGGCTAGGGGTAAAATGGTCATTTTACCCTAAGTTTGGTCTTTGGATCATGATTTGGAATTCGATTGCTAATTGGATGTTGTTTTGTTAATTGTTAGTTTGGGAAATCGTCAGGACAGCAACTAGGGATTTCGTGCAGTGAGCTAATGCACTCAAGGTGACTCTCCTCACCGTGTTTAGCGGATCGAAGGCACCAATTCCAGCCCATGACTATTATGTTAGGATGCTATTTGTATGCGTGACTCTTGTATGTGTATGTATTGATATGTATGTTGGGTGGGGCCCGATGATTATTCTATCTACTAGTATCAGGTTGTGTACATATGATTTGTATGTGGGTAGGGCCCGACGATTGTACAGTATGGTATTATATTTATGATCTTTGCATCTGTTGAATGTTTATATGATTTATGGTTATGCAAGTGTGGGCGGGCCCCGTATCTCAATTGAGTGTGGGTGGGGCCCGTATCTCATCGAGTGTGGGCGAGGCCCATATCTCATCGTTATTCGAGTGTGGGTGGGGCATATATCTCATCGAGTGTGGGCGGGGCCCGTATCTCATTATTGCATGATACATATGGTATGTGGTATTTGGGGAACTCACTAAGCTTTGTGCTTACTTTTTTCAGTTTATGTTTCAGGTACTCCAGTTTTTAAATGAAGAGCTTAGGACAATCGCAATGCATACACCCATCTTTTTCGCGATATGTGATCTTTGGGATTGAACTCTAATAATTGTTTTATTTGAAATGCTTTTTGATGTTTAGAAGAAAGCTACAATAGTGTTTTGATTATAAGAAAATGAATTTTTAACCTTGGATTTTGGGTCGTTACAAGTTAGTATCAGAGCCTTCGTTTGAGGGATTTGCGCATGCTCTCGGGTGTGCCTGAACTGAAACTGAGGGTTTGTGAAAAAATTTATTACATGAAAATTTAACTAAAACGAAATTTCTAATCAAAGAAAGGGGTGTGATGTGTGCAATCGGCCGAGCTCAAGTAAGTGGTTCCCAAAATTCCAATACATGTTATTTATGATATATGCTATGATTATGGGAATTGCATGCTAGTTTAGGGCTAAGAATCTGCTCAGTATTATGTGATAAGAGAGATGCCTTTTTTTGCTTGATTGTATGAGCTTTAGAATTATATGCTACCGTAGATTCCTGATTAGAGGATAGAATTGATTGATTAAAGTATGTTGGTTACTTTTCCATGGTCTGAATGCTGCTTGCTTTGTGCTTTGTGGGACTCTTAGAAATGTGAGTTAGCTACTAAGTGAATGTGCTAAATCACATGTGGCACATGTTGGATAATCTCAGAGCAATGGATTTGACCCCATTGCGCAACTCTCATTTGATTCCAACTATTGAGTCTTTTACTCGAAGGATTATCTGATCTCTGTTGCATGTGACTGTATTCATGAGGAAGCTAATTGACATTGGTGGGGAGTGTAGTTACGATTTAATCGAGTTTATAATACGAGATCAGGGTAAAGAAAGAATTAAGAGCACAAGATCTAAACATAATCTGGTTGGCTCGATTATACTTTATGGAAAATACAGAGAAATATAGAGAGTACAAGTCGAATGCAAAAGCTACCCTCTAACTCTAGTATTCATCCCATCTTTATAGGGATAAGAAAAGCATACAAAAAATATAAGGGACTAAGACACTTAAGCTTCGATACAAAATCCCCTTATAATAAACAACTACAGAAACATTTGATACTAAGAATGACCTACACAACCTTCAACATCTCACAACAACTTTCCACCTCATCATTCTCCCCCTTTGTGAGAAGTGTCGAATATAAGTCATTAGTATCTAAGTAGCTTGATGTATCACCCTTCGAATCTCAGCATACCAGTTAACCACCTTGCGAATTTCAGCTTTGTCACCTTCATTGTTCTTTGCACAACTATTCATTTGAATAATAAGGTTGGTGTAATGAGGTGTGGTATATCTTTCAACATCACAAGCTTGAAACAGAAACT